AGTAGTAGTAGTAGTAGTAGTAGTAGTAGTCGTACTAGTAGTAGTAGTAGTAGTAGTAGTAGTAGTAGTAGTAGTAGTACTAGTAGTACTAGTAGTACGAATAGTAGTAGTATGCGAAGTACTACCAGTAGTAATAGAAGTAATCATAGTGGTAATGGTAGTGGTAGTCGTGGTCACAGGAAACGCAGTCGTAGAGGCACCGGTATCAGTATTGCCATGTCTTCTTTGTGGTCGCAGTACAAGTATAAGTCGTAGTGATAGAAATGGTGGAAGCCGCAGTAGTGGCTTCGCAATGGAAGTGCGGGTGCAGACAAATGAACTCGTAGAATTGATTGTGGTAGTAGTGTAGTCCGTTGGCCTCCTTGCGGGGTCACCAAGCTATAGGACGAATTGCTGCTGGCTGCACCAATTGCACTCTCAAGTCTCCCGTGTTACAATCCTGTTTATTGCTTCCTGCTGTAAATTGTTGAAGTCCGCGCGAAGGGGGCATCCCAAAAAAACCGGTTACCACGCCCGGATCGCGTTCTTTGAATTCCCTGGGGGGCCCGGGACACAAAACAAAATAGGAAACTCGCGCTCCCGAGGCCATAATGCGCAAAATATGCAAAATTTGCGTCCCCGAAACAATAAACCTTCGCAAAGTATGCAATGCTTGCGTCCCGGAGGCGACAAATTGCGTCCCCGAACCCATAAACCCTCGCATACTACGCCGTACTCGCGTTGCCCAGGCCGAGAGTGTTTCAAGGCGCCCGAAGATGGTTCCAACCGGCCCAGGAGGGCTCCAAGAGGCCCCAAGAGCGCTGCAGGAGGCTTTCTGAAAGGGCCCCAAGAGGCCGTCGATTTCACAAAAGTGTTTCAAGGACTTTGGCCTCCTCGCAGTTTCGGCGTTCCGACGCTTCAAGACGGCTCGAAAAGCTCCAAGGACCGTCCCAAGAGAGCCCAAGAGGCCTCCAAGAGGGCCCCAGGACTACCCAAGAGGGCTTCAAGATTGCACAAGGAACGCTCAAGACGGCCCAAGAGGGCCCAACGACGGGCCCAAGCAGGAGACCACGAACCGAATAGTTTATATGTGTGCCCCGAGAAGCTTCCAAGACGCGCCCAACAGTC